CATGGAAAAAATCCTTTATTATGAAGGTAATTTACATTAACCAGAAAAAAAGGCTTAGACAGAAGCATCTATCTTTTTAACTTTGGATAAAAATATATAGAAAATAGGAAAGAACTCGTTAGGTAAAAAATCCGAAGTTGTTTCGTATTTTTGTTTTTATACTTAAGAAACAGTGCTCGATACAAAAATAAAGGCTAAATATAATTATTTATTTTAAGATGTGATTCCTTCGCTACATAAGAGTTCTCATGTTTCAAAAACAACGGCCAAAAACTTCAATGTAATTATTAGAATTAAATTGAATTAAAGTACCAAGCTCTGTCACATCTTCAAGCGAAATTTTTGGAATAACTAATTCTTGAAATTTATAAGCATATTTGTTATTAAAATTAAAATTACTATGGTAACGGCTAGAGCAATTATTTACATAAGGCGCGTAAGGGTTAATAATTTGTATCAATATCTTAGTTGCATTCAAAGAGGTCAAGTCAAGGTAAGGGTTGGGGTGTCTAAATTTAGAGCGGAAGATGACATCGTCTAGTCTGGTTAACGGTTAAGTATCTATAGGGATGTATTCTTTTTTTTTATTCTATTTTCTTTCTTGAAAGGGTTTTGTGTATATAAAACTGTAATAATTAGCTAACATTTGTTTTTTGACAACTTCATAAAGGGCTTTTTTTGTTTTGTTTTTTATATGATTGGGTAGGGATTTTAAACCTTTTATTTAGACTATGGAGTTTAAAATTTGTACTTATTGTTCAATTGTTTGTTTGTTTTTATGATAATTATTCAATGCAAAAATTTGAAAAATTGATGATGTCGGCAAAAAACCGTTAACTCATGTCTATTGTTTAATAAATTTTCATTATATAGAAACTTGATTATGTGTAGTTTTTCATGTAGGCATAAAGGGTATAGGTCATCCCAAGTTTTACAAGTTCTAGTTTTGTTTATAATTTTCCATTTTATTTTATTCATTTCCTTCAAATGCCAAAAATATTTAGAGATGTCTGATTTCTATTATTAATATTGTTGAAGGAGCACTTATACTGCCTCCATCTGGTTTTAAATTTATTCTTCGTATATCATATTAGTATTAGGACTCTCAATGGATGAGATAGTACATTGGTATACCACAGATTTTACGCGGTATATAATTTCCAATGGGCAGTCTTCTAGGTTTCTACAATCACATAATTTTTCATTATTTTTGTCTAATTTAAGTTTAGGGTTTTTATTAATATTATTTTGGCATGGGGTTTTATGGATTTACTTATTTGTTTTTTATTACATTTGATTTTTTTTTGCATTTTTATTATTTTAATCTGAACACAAAATTTTATAATCTCTAAAAAATATTTTACCTCAAAAAAATGCTGTTCAATTATGAAACAATTGTATTAACCAGAAGAAAAACAGGAAAATAAAAATCATTTTACCCGTATAATTCAAACAAAAATGGTTACTTATTATAGAATAATATAAATTATTTAGCCTTAATTAAAAAACACAAGAACTACAAATAGCAGACTTAGTTGAAATCTTCAAATAAATTTTATAATTTTTTTTAAGTTATATGAAACCTTTTTTTGAATAATATATATTATATATATATATATATATATATATATAGATCTCTATTCAATTGCCTCGTCCACTGCAAGGAAAGTTGCTTAAATGAGCCGCTGTGAAGGAAAGTTTTTCTCCCCGGAGTCGATCCTCCAGATCTACAAATCAACAATTCGCCCTTGCATGGAGTATTGCTGCCATATATGGTCTGGTGCCCCTTCTGTTTGCCTCGGGGTTCTTGATAGGCTCCAGAGGCGGATATGCAAATGGTTGGCCCTGCCCTGGCGTCTCGTCTACAGTCACTTTCTCACAGACGCGCCGTTGCCTCCCGCTGTCTGTTCTACAAATACTTTCATGGCAATTGCTCCGAGGAGCTGCATTCGCTGGTTCCCAGACGTCATGAGTTCCAGCGCCCTACGAGGCTGGCATCCCGCTCTCACCCCTTCACTGTCGAAACTCCTAAATGTAGCCGTCTCTTCTACTCTAATAGCTTCATGTCTCGCACCTCTCGCCTGTGGAACTCCCTTCCCTTTTCCTGTTTCCCTGTGAGCTATAATCTCCAGCTATTCAAGTGTAATGTCAATCGACATCTCCAGTTGCCTTGATCTATCCACTACCCTCATCCTTTCTTCTATCACTCCTATCTGATCTTGCTCTAAATTTTCTGTAACCCCTTGCGTCCTAGTGGCTTCCCGCCTTGCTTGGGGTGAAAAATAAAAAAAAAAAAATTTAAATATAAAAAAAAAAAATACATGTGTGTGTGTGTTTGTGTGTTTGTGTGTGTGATTTTGTCTAATATGTACATAAAGTTAAATATTCCCAAAAAAATACTAATTTAATTTTTTTTTCACCAAGATCTTTTTTAATCACGGCGTAACATGTTCCAATTTTATATCTTCTTGAAAAAATCCAGTTTTAAGAAATATTTGCTAAGCAAAATATATATTAAATGAAAATTTTTCAAAATTGATAGTGAATTTTCAACCCAATAAAAAAAATTTGTAAATAAGGGGTAATATGGACATAAAAAAATATGATTAAAATTTTTATATTACATTTAAATAATTTTGGGAAAATAAGGAAATTTGAAAATTTTGGACTGATTAAATAAATACCTGTGGTAAAATGAAAAGAACAGATTTTTTTATGTTTTATATTTTACGATTTTTTAATTATGAGGTCGGATATTAACTTATCTTTTTTAGAGATATAAATATTAATATATAAACAATATGATTTTAAAAAATAGTAATTCAATATCAGAAAAATAAAAAGAAATAGTCATCTAGAATCAAATGAATGAGAAAGAATTGCTCATAAAATTTTTATATTTTTATTCGAAAAATAGAAATTGATTTCAATGGGGATTGGCAATATTCAAATATTTAATTAACAATCAAAACATCATCCATACTTCCTCACTATTAATTATTGTTATAAAATATTTAATAAATCTTGAAAATCCTTTAAAAAAATAAGACCGTGTTAAAATTTATTAAACCAATCTTTATATTGAACATCAACAAATTGAAAAATTTTCCGAAATTTGTAAAAAATTATTAAATTAATTTTTTTGACACCCCTGAAATTTGTGGTCTGATGAGCCAGAATTTAAAAAATAATGGTAGGTTTAAAATATTTTTTTTGAAAAATGTATTTTGAAGATGTCTGTTTTCATTAAATTAAATTAATGGCTCTGATTTAACATTGTAAAAATGACATTGATAAGATTTCATAAAAATTGGGATTATATTAAGGAGGACCAGAATCTTCATTATTAATTTATAGAAATATATATATATATATATATATATATATATATATATATAATATGTGTATATGTTTTGTTTTTGTGTGTTTGTGTGTGTGTTGTCACTGAAAATAAATTTTGAATAGTATATGAATAAATTTCAAGCCTATTTTCCTTTGAAGTTTTTATCGCAATAAATTTGAAAAATATTCTGTCAATAGATTAAAAAAATTAATTTTAAGCAATGATTTATAAAATTATTTATATTTTAGATTTTAGGGATCGGTTTGAAATATGAAGGCCGCGCCAACATTGCACCAAAGGGAGGAAAAATTTTTATAAAATAGATTATATGCTGGGTTTGATAACTAAAATTTTGTCCATACCATTTATATAAGCGAAAATATCCCCATATTAAAATTCCGATTCATGTCACATTTAATTAATATATCAATATATAAATACCATTTGTGAATCGATGTGTGTTAAAATGGTAAATAGTTTTTATTTATTTTTTTGAATATTTTTTCGCATTTGTTTTTATTTATTTTTTTTATTTTGTCGGCAGTTCAGTCGAGTTTATGCCCATGAAGGGGAATATAAACACTATGACTATAATTTAAAGAAATTTGGATATGGCATCTTTTATTGTTTGGTATTTTTCCTGAAACTCCTATATGAATATTTCAGAGGTGTTTGGTTGTCTTATACATAGGAAATGATTATAATTGAAAAGTAAATAGGGTTGTATCTAATAGTGAATTTGAAAATATATGACAATACCGGAAAACTCACTTTTAATTGATTAATAAGAAAAGAACTCCTGAATTTTATATGATATATAGGATATCTATTTAGAAAACTTGAAATTTATCCCCCACCCAACTCGATTTTTTTAAAAAATACTTCCTTTTCTTTACCCTATGTCTGGTAAAAGATATTTGCACCATGTTTTAAATCAAAGAGAATTTATTAATAGCCAAATTTTTTTTTTTTTACGAAACGTCATTATTTACACGTTGCTTTTTTTTGTCCCAATATTACAAACCCTTTTTTGAATATTTTTTTCTTAGATTCAAGAAAACAAATGAATTTATAACACAAAAGATGAAAAAAATATATAGCTAAAAAACCAATTTATTTTTTATTGGATTCAAATCATTGAGGATAAAATTAAAAAAAAGAAGATTTTAGAGTCCGTGGTTGAATTTCATGAATATTAGAAAATAAATTTAATTTTACTATTTCAAGATATTTTTGTTTCAAATTTATTTTTTAAATATATATTTAAAAATGTGATTTAGTGTTATTTCAATTTTTGCATTTTTAGAAAAATTTTTATTCATTCAAAAATTTTATATATATATATATATATATATATATATATATTATATTTATATATATATCATTTCTTTCTTTTTTTTTGCATGCAGCAGAATTGTAAAAGTCTTTCTAGAACACGCGTTTCCTTTCTGCTTAAAAATTTTCAAAACTTTTGCTTTAAATTGTGATTTGAATTAAAAAATGGCCTGGTAGTTTGCAATGAAATGGAACGAAAAATATTTTAAAATTTTTTTAATCGAAAATGGACGAAAAATTTTATAAATTTTTTTTAATTTATTTATATTTTTTTATTTTCAAATTGAGTTGGATAAATTGAAAATTTGTCATTTTTCAGAGAATGGTATTAAATTTACAGTTGTAGGCATGAAAATTCTTTCCACATTATTCTAATTTAGTTTTTATTTCATTTTATTTTTTTTTTTTTTTTTTTTTCCTTTTCAATTTTTTAAATATTTTCTTTAATTCATTTATACTTTGGGGATTTTTAACATTTTCTTTTTTTCTTTCTTGAAAATCCTAAATTTTTATTTTTTAGTCAAAATTAATTTTTTTTTCTGATTTTCTTCCTTCTTTCTTTTAATCTTTTTTTTTTTTTTTTTTTTTTTTTTTTTTTTTTTTTTTAATTCTTTTTTTTTCTTTTTTTCTTTGTCCTTTATGTCTTTTCTTTTTTTTTTTTTTTTTTTTTTTTTCTTTTTTCTTTCTTTATCTTTTTAGCAACAATTTTTTTTTTTTTTCTTTCTGCAGTTTTTTTTCTTTTTTTTCTTTTCTTTCTTTTTTTTCTTGATTTTTTTTATTTTTCTTCTTCTATTCATTTTTTTTAATACTTTTTTTTTTTTCTTTCATTCTCTTTCTTTCTTTCTTTTTTATTTTCTTTTTTTTAATGTCATTAAAATTTCCTTAATTAAAATTTTTTTTTCATTTTCTTTTTTTTTTTTTTTTCTTTCTTTCTTTTTCTTTTATCTCAAAAAACAATTGATAAAAAAGAAATTTTAATTTTTTTCTCATTTTTTTTTCTTTTTATATTTCTTTTCTTTTATTTTTAGTCCTTTAATTCTTTTTTGATTTTGAAATTTCCTTTCTTTCTTTCTGTCGACCTTGTTTTATTTTCTTTCTTTTTTTTTTCTTTTTTTTTATTTCTTTTATGTCCTTATCTTAATTTTTATCAAATTTAAACCTTTTCTCATTGTTTTCTTTTTTTTTTCTTTTTTGATTTTTATGTTCACCTTCTATTTTAGTATTTTAATTTTTTTTTTGATTTTCTTTCTTTATTTCTTTTTTTTAGGAATTTTTTTTTTTTTTTTTCTTTTTATTTCTTTCTTTCTTTTCTTTTTTTTCTTTTTATTTTTTATGTCAATTTTCTATTTTAGTCAAAATTAATTTTTTTTCTGATTTTTTCTTTCTTTCTCTTATTTCTTTCTATATATTCTTTTTTTTTCTTTTTTATGTATTTTCTTCCTTTATTTTAGTCCCTTTAATTCTTTTTTTTTTGATGAAAAATTTCTTTTATGAAATTTTCATTTTTTCTTTCATTTATGTTCCTCTTCTTTTATTTTAGTCCCTTTAATTCTTTTTTCTGATTTTTTTCCTTCCTTTCTTTCATTTTTTCTTTCTTTCCTTTTTCTTTCTATCTTTCTTTCTTTCTTTTATGTACCTCTTCTTCTGTTTTAGCCCCTTTCATTCTTTTTTCTCATTTTCTTTCTTTTTTCTTTCTTTCTTTCTTTCTTCTTTCTTTCTTTCTTTCTTTCTTTCTTTCTTTCTTTCTTTCTTTTATGTTCCTCTTCTTTTATTTTAGTCCCTTTAATTCTTTTTTCTGATTTTCTTTCTTTTTTCATTCTTTCTTTCGTTCTTTCTTTCTTTTATGTCCCTCTTCTATTTTAGCAACTTTAATTCTTTTTTCTCATTTTCTTTCTTTCTTTCTTTCTTTCTTTCTTACTTTCTTTTATGACCCTCTTCTTCTATTTTAGCAACTCTAATTCTTTTTTCCTCATTTTCTTTCTTTCTTTCTTTCTTTCTCACGACTTTTGTCTTCTATTTCCAGCATATAATTTTTTTCCCTTTCTTTTTTCTCTCTGGAGGTCTTTCTTTCTTTTATGCCCCTCTTCTTTTCTTTGCCTTCCTATAATTGATTAATTCTTTATTTATTGATTGATTTTCGTTTTTCTCTCCTTTCTTTCTTTCTTTCTTTCGTTCTTCTCTCCTTTCTTTCTTTCTTTCTTACTCTCTGTCTGTCTGTCTTTTTTTTTAGATGTTACTGGGCTCACTTTTCATTCCATATTTCTTTCTCGGCACAGCACTTCTCCACTCTCGTTTGAAGTTGTAAATATTGCCAAATCTGCATTTATTCTTTTCTGTTATGAGTCGTAACAACTTTTAAGTTATCATGAGACATACTAAAAAGATCTCTTTGTTCAGCTACAACACAAATGGAATGGCAAAGGGAAGGAACAAACGTCAAAAGAAGTGACATAGCCTTTGATATTTTTGCGTTAAAATCGCCATATTACTCGTATTAAAGCGACCACGGCTGCGGCTAACGTTCAAAAAAGCGCTGACAAGACGCAAGGAAACGCGATTGATATGCCTGCCAATGGCCCTTAAAGAATATCTATCTATCTATCTATCTATCTATCTATCTATCTATCTATCTATCTATCTATTCTCACTTTGTTCTTACTCACCCCTCTCTCTCTCTCTCTCTATCTATCTATCTCTCTCTCTATCTATCTATCTATCTATCTATCTATCTATCTATCTATCTATCTATCTATCTATCCTCACTTTGTTCTTACTCACCTCTCTCTCTCTCTATCTATCTATCTATCTATCTATCTATCTATCTATTCTCACTTTGATCTTACGCACCTCTTTCTCTCTCTCTATCTTTCATTCTCTTTCTCTATCTTTGTTCTTACGTATCGATATATATATATATATATATATCTTTGTTCTTATACAATTATCTATCTATCTATCTATCTATCTATCTATCTATCTATCTATCTATCTCAGTGCGTACATATCTATCTATATTCATATCTATTTCAATCTGTTTCTTTCTATCTCATCCACTTCATATCTATCTATCTATCTATCTATCTATCTATCTATCTATCTATCTATCTATCCATCTATAAGAATACAAAGTATTTTTTCAAATCATATCTATCTATCATCTATCTATCTATCTATCTATCTATCTATCTATCTATCTATCTATCTATCTATCTATCTATTCTCACGTTGTTCTTACTCACCACGTTCTCTCTCTCTCTCTATCTCTATATATATATATATATATATATATATATATATGTATCTATCTTTGTCCATAGATATCTATATATTTATATCTGTTCTTATCTATCTATCTATATATCAGAATACAATGTATTTATTTCAAATATTAACAAGAGGTCGACCATGTTAATTTAACATCATCTATCTATCTATATATATATATATATATATATATATATATATATATATATATATATATATATATATGCAAGAATACAAAATAATCAAATGGACATGCGGACGATCATGTTAATTCTGAAATATATAGTTTTACGTCAAAAATTCTTTGCCATTACAGTGTTCGCTATCAAGTGATGAATTTGTAACAGAAATAATGATGCTGCATGTAGTCGGATTCCTGTCCTTAGTTGTGTATGATGTGCTTTGCCAGGGCTATCTACTGTTACAATTCCGAGTTATTCCTTCTCGTAGATCAGTTATCTAAACCTGAATTTCATCCCAATATGTAATCAGTAGCTGAGGGGAGAACAAGTTGATTAATGCCTTTCTCAGTGGCCTTTTCATGTAACTGAAGGTAATGAGCTCGATTGGAGTTCGAATTTGCCTTTCCGAATTTTCCTTCCTAACAGCTACTCACACATCCATTAATAGAAATCAGGAAAATTTAAGTTTCACTTATCTTGTCCCTACTCTGAATATTGCGGTAATTACACTCACTTTCACTTGTCCTTTGACTGTATATAAAATTCCATATACGAGTATGTTTTAAACCTCTTAAAACCCCGAAATCCAAAGTCATCGTGACTGCAGGTTCGAGAGTGTTCTCGTTTAAATACTGACCCTGCCAGATTACACACCCTCCCTCAGAAATTGAAACTCTCGCTCAGCAGTGTAAGTGACATGTTGCTGCTCTGTGGCTGTTGAATTGTCATTCATTCCCTACAATGATTAAGACCAAGGTTATTTAATCCATAACAGGGGGAACTAAATGGCTTTCTATGGTCATACTAGTCATTGGTATGGCGATAGACTACATCCGGTAGTAATGCCTGTGATGGGGAGATTGGAGATTTTGAGGACGGTGAAACCATGTCTTCTTTGCTGTTGCTCCTAGGCCCACCCTAACGCTGGGGGTAGCAGTTGTTAGGTTGCCATAGTGGGCAAACGATGAATCCCCAAGCAAAAAATATATGAAAGTATAAAAGTTCATTTTTTAGGAAAAATAAAAGCAGAACATTTTTATATAAAAAAATCACTAAAATACATATTTATAGTAAAATTCCCAACAATACCTATTTATAGTAAAATTACCAGCAATACATTTTTAAAGCCGAATGACCAGTAATACATTTTATCAGTAGTGGATGGCATACACTTGATTTCAAATTATATTTAGTCGAAGCCATATAATTGTTCAAAATTTTAAGATTTTGTCATTATATAACCCATAGAGGTGTTGATATGCCGGTAAACAAAATTAATCAACCAATCTACCTACACAAGTCATACTCATTCGTCTGTAATTTGAAATCTGCTTGAAGATCTGAAGACTTTGAAATCTGCTTGAAGATTTGAAGACTTTGAAATGTGCTTGAATATTTGAAGACTTTGGAATTTGCTTGAAGATCTGGAGACTTTGAAATCTGCTTGAAGATTTGAAGACTTTGAAATCTGCTTGAATATTTGAAGACTTTGGAATTTGATTGAATATTTGAAGATTTTGGAATCTGCTTCAAGATTTGAAGACTAGGAAATCTGCTTCAAGATTCCACCTTTCACATTCCTTAACCAAAAATGTATTTTGCGAACTGTTTAGTATTAAGTCTATTGCATTCCATTCCATATGATAGTAATGGTAAAATTTGTTGTTTCCTTACAAGGAATGATTTGGCATTCATTGATCAAGCACCTAGTACTTGTTTCAGTTTTAAATTAAAAAATATTTCTCGGAAATTTATTTTAGGTAAACGGGTTTCTCAAGTAGCTGTTATCGCTCTTTCCAGTATTGATGGGGTGTCCCTTCTGAACTTTCTATTTGAAGCGGTATGGGATGCTAACATCATGATTATGTCATTATTTTCTCTTCGAGTTACTTGTTTTTTAGCAGTACTCAAGTGACGTGGTTTCTGTTATTTCTTACAAATCATTTTTGTGATCATGTAGCGCCAGTCCACAATGTTCAAAGAAGGATGAAATCTACTAAGAACCTCAGGTTTTGCAATCTCAAATTCTTTTTTTTTCACCATTGATCATAAGAAGTGGTTGTATCCAGGTGACAATTTGGTCTATTTCTAAAGAGGCAGCCATCGGAAAATCTCGATTTGATGAGGCTATTTAATCTAAATTATATATAATATATATATATATATATATATATATATATATATATATATATATATATATAGGAGATGGTAGCTCATTCCATCACATCAGGAATTAACCGATTCCTTCTTCCTTAATTTATCTTTACAAGAAACATATTAGGTCCAAATTATTTTTGCCACCATATCTGCGGATCTCATGCCTTGTATTATTTATCGTAAATCATTTCAGCCAATTAAGGCAATTAAGCTACACGTTCGTAAGAGGATAATGAGTTCTGGAGAATATGAGAACAATTATTAATGAGAGAGGGCAATAAAAGAACAAAAATTAAGAAGACAGTTGATAACAAATGTGATTGCATTTGATTTTTTTATGATCAAAGTTAACTTGGAAGCAAGAAGACAGAAGAGAGTTCCACAAGCGCGAGGTGTGATAGAAGAAACTGTTACCACTGAACACACGGTAACATCTTACCACCAATCTAGTACTACGCTTAAATTCATAAAGTCTAGATACCATAGCAGTAAGTTCACCAGAAGAGTTAACCATGACGGTATTTATAGAAAAAGGACTGAAGCAGTTCAGGACCGATAAGATTGCAGACACTTCTTTGGATTTTATCAAGAATCTTTAAATATATAGCAGGAGTAACAGATCATATGTGACAGCAAGATCGGATTTGGTGAATTCTCCTACTAAAAAAAAAAAAAAAAAAAAAATTACATTCCCTCTAGAAAGGCGAGAGTTTGACTCTCAGTTGCAAACGGATTGGCTTGTTGTAATCTCCCGGCTTTCCATCAGATGTGAACGTCGCATGACCATCCGTGAATTAGACCGGGAGTAAATGATATTAGGCAGTCGTTATCGGAAGTTGTGCAGGCGGATAGCAAATACTTCTTTATGAGCGTTAAGTCTGACAATGAATCAGAATTTCTGCTCTGGTGTTAGGCCAGCGTTGTAAATTGTACGCAAACTAAATCTTTTGGCATACACCAAATCTAGGAAAAGCTGAGTTAAGCACGAAGTCAGTTAATGAAAAATCCGCCTACAGCTCGATAACAATCGTCCGAAAGGTACTTCGTACGAAATTTGAGATAAAGACTTTTTTTTTCTTACTAAACTTATAGATTAACACGTGGTTATTTTTCAGATTATTTGTGATAAAATATCTTTATTTAATTCTGCGTGGAAATCGTTTCTTGGAGATTTGCTGTGGCGATAATTGGATTATGAGACAGCTAATTCCTTGAACGAAATTATCTCATACGTATGTCATTAATTATTGAACTGGGTTATCTTATTCGAATGATAAAAAAATAAAGAAATATTCACTCAGTATATAAATTTATCAGGTTGTAAAATAATATTAGATTTTCTTTCCCAACTCCTTAAAAAATATCATGAATTTGAACGAATATTGTAATTACATATATTAATAATAATTTCGGTTTGATTATAGTTTGCATTTCCTAAACAATACATAACGTGGAAAAGAAAGACGTAAATCAAAAATAAAAGCAATATACGAACCATCAAAAC